GCTGCCGCCTTCGCTTGCGCCGCCGTGTCGTCCCTGCGTCGAGGGTAGGCTGCGCGCCACCCCTCACTCCTCCTCCCTTCGTCCGGCCACCGAGCCTTTTGAGACGCTTCACTTGGACGTCTGGGGCCCCGCCCCTCGTCTAGGCCCTGAGCGTGAGCGTTACTTTCTGGTGGTCGTTGACGACTTCTCCCGCTACACCACAGTGTTCCCACTGGCGAAGAAGTCTGAGGTGACTTCTACGCTGATCAGGTGGTTGCTCACCACCGAGGACACTCGTGGTCGTCGTGTCAGCTGTCTCCACTCCGACCGTGGGGGTGAGTTTCGCTCCGGCATTCTCGCTGGATTCTGTCGCGAGCAGGGCATTCGTCAGTCCTGGACGCTTCCAAAGTCCCCACAGCAGAATGGGGTTGCTGAGCGCCGCATAGGCCTGGTCATGGAGATCGCCCGCACCTCCCTGACTCACGCCTGTGCCTCCCATTTTCTGTGGCCCTACGCGGTCAGGTACGCCGCGCACCAGCTGAACCTCTAGCCACGTGTCTCTCGACCAGAGGTTTCACCGACCAGTCTTTGGACAGGGTCCCCTGGTGTTGCGTCGCGGTTTCGTGTCTGGGGGTGCTTGGCTCTTGTCCGCGACACCTCCGCGGACAAGCTCTCGCCTCGTGCCGTCCCCTGTGTCTTCCTTGGTTTCCCTGAGGACTCCTCTGACTTCACCTTTTACCACCCTCCCTCTCACCGGTTCTTTGACTCCCGTGACGTCCGTTTCGAGGAGTCCACTCCGTACTACGTCAGGTACCCCAGTCGGGGTCTCCCGGTTCCTCCTCCCCCCCTCTTCCTGACTGCCGCTCCCCCTCCTGCTCCCCCGGTACAGCCTCCCCCCCCTGGCCCAGCCCAGTCAGGTGTGTCCCAGGCTACCCCTCCTCCTTCGGTAGCCCCTCCGGTACAGCCTCCCTCCCCACAGTCCTCCTCGCAGCGTGCCGCTGGTGCTAGCTCTCGAGAGGTTGGTGCTGCGCCTGTTCCTGTACCGGTTTCTGGTTCTGGGGGTGCTGGAGTTGGAGCTGGTGTTGGAGCTGGAGGTGGAGCTGGAGTAGGCACTGGAGTTTCTGGTTCTGGGGGTGCTGGAGTTGGAGCTGGAGTTTCTGGTTCTGGAGTTGGAGCTGACCCGGTGGGTGCAGAGGACTCTTGTCGTCCGGGAGCCGGTGCTGGCCGCGCGGACTCTGGGGGTGCTCCCTCTGGGGGTGAGGGTGCGCCTGCTTCGGGTTCTGGTGCGCCTGGGTCTCGAGCTGGTGTTAGTGCTGCCTCTGGGGGTGGTGCGCCTGGTTCTTCGGGGGTTGACTCTGGAGCTGCCGCTGCTTCGGACACTACTCCGCCCCCCCACCCCTACCCGACTAGGCACCAGGCTCGTGTTCGCCGTGCGCGTGACGAGCAGCTGGAGTTGGAGAGAGAGGAGAGGGAGTTACAGCGGCTGGCGGAGCAGCAGCAGCAGCTGGACCCGCAGGAGCAGCAGTCCCAGCAGCAGCCGCGTCCGCATCAGCAGCAGTCGCAGCAGCAGCAGCAGCAGCAGCCACTTCCTCCTCCTGTCTCGGGTCTTCGGGCCCTTGGTCTCCCCTCCCCTTCTCCTCCCTCCTCCGCCTCTCCTCCTGTCTACGGTCCCACGTTTCCTCCGCCTGACTCCTCCCCCGCTGTTTTCTCTAGTTCTCCGCCTTTGTCCTCTCCTCCTCCGTCTCGTTCTTGGGCTACTCGTCGCTCCCCTCGTGCTCGTCCCTCGTCTCCTGTTCCCTTCACTGACCTTCGTACTGCCTTACTTTGTTCCAGTCCACCTCGTCCGTCTCAGTCTGTGCTTCCGTCTCCTCCTGAGTCAGCCCTCACCGTGTCGCTCCCTGCTCCTGTCACTGACTACTACCGCACGTACCGTCCTGTTCTCTCTCGTGTTCTTGCCTCTCTTGTTACTCACCCTCGTGCCTCTGTGTCCTCTGTGTCTGCTCTTACTGTCGCGGTTACTGACTTTGCCGCTACCCGCCGCCTTGACTACGCCACCACGCTTGTGGCTGCTCCTCCTACCAGTCCTCTGGCCGTCGGGGGTGTGTCTGCCCTTGGTTGTGACGCCCTAGAGGACAGGCAGTTTGAGCTAGAGTTCCTGGCGGCCGCTTCCCCTCATCTCTGTGCCATGCTCCTCGCCCCTGAGGGTGACCCCGACGCCCTTGACATTCCGACTCCTCGCACTTACGCTGAGGCAGTGTCAGGGCCTTGGGCCTCTCAGTGGAGAGCTGCCATGGACGCAGAGATGGCCTCCTACAGATCCACAGGCACCTACATCGATGAGGTTCCCCCCCCTGGGGCGAACGTAGTCGACGGCATGTGGATCTACAGGGTGAAGCGGCCACCGGGATCTCCCCCGGTCTTCAAGGCGCGCTACGTGGCTAGAGGTTTCAGTCAGCGCGAGGGAGTTGACTTCTTTCAGACCTTCGCACCTACCCCGAAGATGACCACTCTTCGGGTGTTACTACACGTAGCAGCACAGAGAGACTACGAGTTACACTCTCTCGACTTCTCCACTGCTTTCCTTCAGGGCAGCCTACACGAGGAGGTCTGGTTGCGTCGTCCCTCGGCCTTCACTGGCACCTTCCCTCCTGGGACCCAGTGGAGGCTGAGGCGACCTGTTTATGGTCTTCGCCAGGCCCCTCGTGAGTGGCACAACACTCTACGTTCTACCCTCTCTGACCTTGGGTTCCAGCCGTCTTCTGCCGACCCGTCGCTGTTCGTTCGTCGTGGCTCCACACCGTTCTTTGTTCTGGTCTACGTCGACGACCTCGTTTTTGCCACTCCGGACAGGGTTGCTTTGGCAGACGTGAAGTCCGAACTGCAGAAGAGACACACATGCACTGATCTTGGTGAGCTGCGCCACTACCTTGGCCTGCAGATCACCAGGGACAGAGCCGCTCGCACCATTACACTCTCATAGTCACACATGGTGCAGCAGGTCCTTCAGCGGTTCGGGCTTCAGCACTCCACCGTACAGCGCACACCTCTCGCTGTTGACCACAGACTCACTGGTCCCTTTCCTGACGAGCCGTTTGAGCCTAGTGGTCCCTACGCAGAGCTTGTGGGTTGCCTCATGTACCTGATGACTTGTACTCGCCCGGACCTCGCCTTCCCTCTCAGCATCCTTGCGCGCTTTGTTGCGCCAGGGAGACAACGTCCTGTTCACTGGACGGCAGCTGTGAGGGTGGCGAAGTATCTAGCGACTACATCAGGCGTGGGGCTAGTTCTTGGAGGGCAGCAGTCTGTCGTACTCACTGGTCACTATGACTCCTCTTACGCTGACGACGCTGAGACGCACAGGTCTACTCAGGGGTACTATTTCAGTCTGGGTTCTGGAGCTGTTTCCTGGCGTTCAACGCGCTCCTCTTCTGTCTCGACCTCTACAGCTGAGGCTGAGATTTACGCTGGTGCCATGGCGGCACAGGAGTTGCGGTGGTTGACCTTCTTGCTCGCCGACCTTGGTGAGCGGCCGAGCTCTGCACCGACCTTGTTTACTGACAACAAGGCGTCGATCCTCCTCTGTCGTGAGCCGCGACTGGAGAGCAGAGTGAAGCACATTCACGTCAGGTACTTTCTTCTGCGAGAGTTGCAGAGACGTGGACAGGCTCGCTTCGAGTTCGTGGAGTCCGAGGCCAACACTGCAGACATCTTCACCAAGGCGCTTCCGCCTTGTGACCACCAGAGGTGTTGTGTGCAGTTAGGCCTTGTTGACACAGGTTCTAGTCATGTGTAGACTTGAGTTTATTGCCTGCTTTGTCTGTACACTTGCTATATATACTTGTGATCTCTTGGACTGGCCTTGTGGCCACTGTTGCTTGTGCTCAGAGTGTGTGGTGACGTTGTGATCCACCCTGAGCTTTGTTTTCTTTTGGACTGGTCTTGTGACCGTACTCTTTTTGATTTTGCTAGACACCCCTCACTTAGGCTATGGGGGTGTGTCAAATGTTGTAGCCTGTAGTGAGGTTTGTCTTAGGGGGTACAGAAGTTAGGGTTTGTCATATGTACCCGAACCAACATCAATGGAAACACCATTCCTCATTCTGACATCAGTTGTGTGTCCTTCCTGTTGCGCTGTACTTGTCAGGTCAAAGGTCGCTGACCTTTGACTTTCACGTAACCTCCAGCAGTTACTTCAACCTCCGAGGGTTGACTCGCTGGTGCCTTGATATGCTTTGCTTCGCTTGTGCCTTGGTGTTTCGACACGACAGAGGCGCTTAAGCTCGATTGTTTCCAACAAATACCCCTCTCGTTATCAGACTAATTTGGTCTGATGGTCTGATTGTCAGACTTTTTAGGATTCATCTGATTTGGCCAACAGGATCAGACAAAACCTTGTCTAATGCCCGGGAGGGAGACCTGTCCGATAAATCAGACGTCCTCTGTTATCATAACATGGGTAGGGGGCTTCCCACAGTAATGGGAGAAGAAATTAATATATCAGCATGGTTCAATATAATCTAGGGGCCTGCACCCACTGAAATAAAACACCCATGGGGGAACTTTATGTGCACTGTGCGTAGGACAGCACCATACGAAGTTAATGCCCTACCGTTAGGACAGCAACATCTGTTTCAAAGAATAATACTTCCTACCCCAAAACAAAGTTTCCTCTGTACTAGACAAACCACACACTAGGCCTTGTCGATGGCACACCTTTCAACACAAATTAAAGAAATACCAAAGCAGACGCTGTCGTGCTGTGCCAGTATGTGGCTACAAATTGCTTCCAGCAGTTTGCACGAATGCCTTCAGTCAAGATAATAGCCTTTACAAACATGTACACGATTTAAGGCAAGGTAGCCTTCTGTTGTAAGTTGGCCTGGGTTTCTGCACGAAAGGAAGACACGTGAGCCCGAGATGAATCAACGGAACGACAAAACTAGAAAGTGACCAACACGGGATGACACGTGAACCCAAGATGAATCGGAACGGCAACAAAACAAAAACGGCTATGACTTACCTCAGACGGGTAGTGGGTTGTACCAAGCATAGACAGCTGTATCAGGTTCCGAACCCGCCGTGTGTGGTGGCTGAGCAGGAGACACGAAATCCTTGGAGCCTAAAAGTGGAAAAGAAGCACAGGTTACATTGCTGACGACGTTGAATGCATTCAAATGAAGCTGAAAATCCCATACCACTTCCAAACCGCGAAGGCAGCTTGTAGTCCCGCTTGAATGTGGCTGGAAGAGAATGCGATGTTTCCAGATGTCGGTCCTTCCTTGCGGCCTTTACTGAGCCAATTATATTCACGGGTTGGGAAGAAACTCTTCCACACTCCACGCTCCTTCGCCGCTTTTCGAAGTCATCTGGAAGGCGCGAAGGAAGTTCACAACGCACGATTTTCCGATGTTAACATCTGTTCAAGGAGAAGGGAAACTAGTGAAGTCTGAGCGTTAAACCTCGCACCGTGGAGGTTAAACCTTCCTCACCTTCCCACGATGGCTTCGGTGAATTCACAGGACTGCCAGTCAAGTCCACAGAATTCGACGGCGACTGGGGAATGTTCAGAGCCCCAAGTCGATCCTGGCACTTCTCTGGCTTCGGACCTCCCAGAACCTCGTCCCAGAGAGTGCTAAGGATGCTCATACTGACTTGTGGAAGGCAGCCTAAGGAAGAGCCTTGCTTTCACCCTCCTTCCAGCTGACCTTCATAGAGTGACTGAAGCTTGTTCTTTCGCACCAAGCAGCACAAAATATTCTTCCCATGGCTCCGCCTGACACCACAAGGTGTTTCCAGACCTCAGCCAAACCGAACCACCGAGCCTAACTGGTTCCCCTTCAGGCAGAACAAACTTCCGTTTGTTGGGAGTTGTGCGAGGGGGTTTGGCACAATTGAGCAGAGGCAATTTGCCCTTTTCCCACATCCTCAAGTTACCGTTCCACCATACAGAGGTCACCGTGGCGAAGCAAAATTCAGAGTCGAGCAGCTAGCTACCTGATAGGCCTGGGCTCTACCAGACCGCAACGACCCCCAATGGCATGTGGCGATACCTCCGACGTGGACATGCAGGCGTGCCTATGAAGCCGAGCCTGCTGGCACTTGCTCACCAATAGCCAGCGCATCAGAACAGGCACATGCCAGTTTTTCGGCGCATGCAACAACCCTCGCCTGGGCCAACAACACCGAAACCGCCCAACTGTAACAGGATAAGTACAATTCTGAACATTTCAGGGGACTCCACTTGTTATTAGCTATAATATCAGAGTGCGCGGAAGTAGTCAATAACGAGAATGTGATTACGGAAGTTGAGAATACAATGAAAGAACGAGAATATATTGTCAGAGGTCCACTGGAAATCCCGGATTGATCCTACAGAAGGGTTACATGCTCGTTGTCCTAAAGGGTTATGGGCGCACTGACCCGCTACTTAACAAGCCATTTTATCCCAGTGGTCTAGTGGCTGGGATTCTGACATGGTATCAGAGCGGTCTCGGGTTCGAATCCCAATGTGTGCACTTAGGGCATCCCAGTGCGGGGGGGTGTCAAAGGTTCACTGGAGATCCCAGATTGATCTTAAGGAAGGGTTACAAGTTCGTTGTCCTGGGGGGTATGGGCGTACTGACCCGCTACTTATCTCAGTGGTCTAGTGGCTAGGATTCTGACATATATATGGTGAAACTGGGCTAGGCAAGGACCTTGGGACATGCGAGGGTTGGGGCGACTGGAGCGTGGGCGACTTGGGGCTGGTTCGGGGCAAAAGTGTAGGCCGAATCATAAAGTCGCAAAGTGCCGGGGCATCCCCGGTAAGGGGAGTCTACATTAATAAATTATGGACTCATTACACTCTCCCACATTCTAATGAAGGCCTCCCTATATGAAGGCGAGTCTTGCAATGTTTTGTTGATTACAAATCTTCGATCGAAATGTGATCTAACGAATGTCGAGCTGATGCGCAGCTGAATATTTAAGCAGACGACATTGAAAAAGCTGAAGCGCCTGTTGCTGCAAGTAAATATCGTTGTGGATATGACAATACTTAGTTAAGTTAAGGAGACAGTAAAGTGCCATAAAGACCATGTTAATGATAAGTTGAAATAAAACGAGATGAGAAAGATAAAAATACAAAGAGTTTATATAACATTCCTAGCTAGCCATGTACTATGACAAGTACATTTCCTTGTTAAATATATTGCATTGCTACAGTAACAGCGACTGTTGCCATCCTTGATAGTTACCGTGTCAAAATCAAGGAACGAGAATGAATTAACAAACAGCAAGATCGGTACAAGTAATAACCCAAATTGGGTTGTACCCCAAATGGGCTACCCCAGTACAACCTACACAATATATATGTTTGACACACCACCACAGTCAAAGTGGGGGAGAACAAGAGGCCACAAGACTAGTCAATAAAAGCAAAGCAAACTCATGGTGGATCATGAAGTCATCACACATTCCGAGCACAAGCAAATGGCCACAAGGCCAGTCCACATGCGGAGTTATATAATAGAAAACAAGCAGTACAGTGATCAAAACCTAGCAAGTGCAAGCATGCAGGTATATGTATATAGATCACAGTACAAGCAAACTCAAGAAGTGAACAATTGAGGCCAGCTAGGTACAAGGCCTAAAACAGTACAAAAACGCTGATGATCACAAGGCTGAAGTGCCTTGGTGAAGATAATAGCAATGTTGGCCCGAGAGGCCGCGTAAGCAAGACGAAACTGACCATGCTGCAGCATCTCTCGAGCAAGGAAGTAACGCAGAGCAATGTGTTTCGTTCTGTGCTCCAGTCTGTGCTCCTCACACAAGGCAATCATGGCCTTGTTGTTGACGTAGAGAACTGGAGGAGAACGAGGCGGCTCTCCCAAATCGGTCAGCAGGTAAGTGAGTCAACTCCTGTGCAGCCATGGCCCCTGCGTAGATCTCAGCCTCACAACTAGAACTGAGAACAGAAGACGAACATGTCAAAAAGTAGGAATCAATGATGACTAGAATAAAAGGGTTTGTATAGCAAAACCTAATTGGACTGTACCCCATAAGGAGTGCCCCAATACAGCCTAGAGCATATAAGTGCAGAGTTCTGACACACCCCCATAGGCAAAGTAGGGAACAAGCAATAGAACGAAGCAAGGTCAAGCTCAGGGTGGATCACAACGTCACCATGCAGTCCGAGCACAAACAAGTGGCCACAAGGCCAGTTCACATGCAAAGTTATGTATAAAGAAGAACAAGTAGTACAGTGATCACAACCTAGCAAGTGGAAGCATGCTGGTATAAGTATATAGATCACAGTGCACGCAAACTCAAGAAATGAGCAAGTGAGGCCGAGTAGGCATAAGGCCTAGAACAGTACAGAAACGCTGATGATCACAAGGCTAAAGTGCCTTGGTGAAGATATCAGAACTGTTGGCCTGAGAGGCAACGTAAACAAGACGAAGGTGACCACGCTGCTGCAACTCTCGAGCAAGGAAGTAGCGCAGAGCGATGTGCTTTGTTCTGTGCTCCAATCTGTGCTCCTGACACAAGGCAATCATGGTCTTGTTGTCGACGTACAGAACTGGAGGAGAACGAGGCGCCTATCCCAAGTCGGTCAGCAGGTAGGTGAGCGAGCGTAACTCCTGTGCAGCCATGGCCCTTGCGTAGATCATAGCCTCACAGCTGGAGCTGAGAACAGAAGACGAGCGGGTAGACCGCCACGAAATAGAACAGAAGGCTGAAGGTGTAACCCTGTAACGACCGCTGCGTAGCCAAATCGTCAACCCAAGAAGCGTCTGCGTGACCAGTGAGGACAACTTGAGCCCGTCCTCTTAGCACGAGCCCCATGCTTGACGTACTGCACAAGTAGCGCATCACCCTCTTAACGGCCTTCCAGTGCTCTGGTTAGTGTCTCCCGGGCACAACGTAGTGTGCTAGGATGCTAAGAGGGTAAGCAAGGTCAGGTCGAGTGCAGGTCATCAGGTACATGAGGTAGCCCACAAGCTCTGGACATGGGCCACTCAGCTCTACAGACTCATCCGAAGGCAGAGCTGAGAGCGAGTGACCGGTAGGCAGAGGAGTGGACTCTGGCGAGGAGTGCTGGAAGTCGAAGCGCTGAAGGACCTGCTGCACCATGTGTGACTGAGTCAAGGTAATGGTGCGCCGTGCTATGTTTCGGGTGATCTGAAAGCCAAGATAGCTGGCAGCTCACCCAGGTCTTTACATGTGTGTCTCTTCTGTAGCTCCGACTTCACGCGGGCCAGTTTAGCAGTGTTAGAATTGGCAAAGACCAAGTCGTCGATGCACACGAGGATGTAGAACGGCGGCAGCGAAGTGTCGGTGCGTAGAAACATCGATGGGTCAGCAGTGGTAGCAGCAAACCCAAGAGCCGCAAGAGTCGTTCTTAGTGTGTCGTACCACTCGCAAGGCGCTTGGCGGAGATCGTAGACTGGCCGCTGGAGGCTCCACTGGGTACCTGCAGGAAACGACCTAGTCAAGCCAAGTGGGCGGCGCAGCCAGATCTCCTCGTGCAGGCTGCCCTATAGGAAAGCAGTGCTGAAGTCAAGAGAGTGAAGCTCGTAGTCACGCTGAGCGGCGACGTGCAGCAGAACCGGAAGAGTGGTCATCTTCGGGGTAGGGGAAAAGGTGTGGAAGAAGTCAACTCCCTCTCGTTGACTGAAGCCTCGTGCAACGTAACGCGCTTGAAGACAGGCGGAGAAACCGAAGGCCGCTTCACCCTGAAAATCCACATGCCACTAACGATGTTCGCCCCAGGAGGGGGAACCTCATCGACGTAAGTGCCTGTTAACTTCTAGGATGCCATTTGTGCGTCCATGGCAGACTGCCGTTGAGAGGAGTAGGGACCCTCTATCGCCTCTTCGTAAGAGCGCGGGGTCGGGATGTCGGGTGCATCCGGGTCTCCCTCAGGGGCAATCAGCATGGACACGAGATGAGGTACAGCAGCTGCAGAATACTCAAAGTCCTCCCGCCTGTCCTCAAGGACATCCGTTCCAAGAGCACACTCACCCCCGACGGACGGAGGACAGACAGACTCAAACGTAGCAACAAGACTAGCGGCGTAGGCTAGACAGCAGGCGGCAGTAAAGTCAACAAGCTCAGCAAGAAGAGCCCCTAGGACCGCTCTGCCTCCTACATCGCCTCATCGTGCAGGATGTACGAGGTTAAGTTGTTCTCGTTGAGCGTCATGTTCGTGCTCAGCGCCATTGACAGCCGCTTCAGGAGGTTGTAGCTGCACGAGAGTCCCTGCATGACGTGGGTGACGTACGACGCCGTCGAGTACTGCGCGCTGGTGACTTGGTAGGTCGACTCGATGAAGTGCCACGCCCGGTGGCTGGCATCGACGTACTCTCGGCACTACTTCAAGGCAATCTGCACACCCGGCGAGCAGCATCGCGAGATGATCGTGAAGGTCAACAACTGCACGGTGCGAAACTCCACTCGCAAATCAGGGTGGTGCTCCCCCGGCGTTGCCACGGTCCCTCGGGCGAAGCTGATCAGCTCGGCCATCTCCAGCTCGGGCTCGATGGTTTCCTTCCTGGTGAGTATGTCCAACGAGCGGTGGGGTGACCAAGATCCTGTCCGGCATAATCTTGAAGTAGCCGTAGCTCGGTTCAATCCCGTACTCCCACACCTGGGTCGCCGACATC